GCCACGATTTCAATATTATTTCAATAAAGAATTATTTTAATTCGAAGCACAAAATTAGCTGCACAGCATAGGAGTGTAGTGATTGCTTTGTGGCTGACACACACACACATATGTCGGCTGCCGTATGTCATGCCATATATGTGGTTTTGTGTGTGTGTGTGTGTATTTTATCTCTAATGGCACGACTCTCTAAATGCTGAAAACTGTTTGTAAAGACATCCCATCCAATGGCTATAATTGATTCAACTGTTCCTTGTAAAGCATAGATGCCCAGTAGTGGCTGATTTCAGCAATTTCAACTCACACGTATTCTTACGCTCTTTTGTTTGATCGCCAATCAACCAATAAGAAAGCAGAAATATGAGTGGGAGAGATAAGCTACACAGGCAGAAGTTTTGTGTAATATTTACATTTAATCGTAATCGAGACTGGCGTTAGTGAACACATAAACTGAAAATTATTGCGATATGTCAATGATGTCTTTTGAAAAGTATTTTATGCTACAAAATGCTTTTGATGATATGCAATGTGTTATATGTTATAAGACATTAAAAAAAAAGAAATATAATTTAAAAAAACTGTTCATAAAGACATGAATTGTTTGCAGGGGGGAAGAAAAAGAAAAACAATTTAAAATGTATAAGAAACTTTTTATAAAAAAGTTGAAGGAATGGGTAAATCAATATAGAGATAATGATGAAGATATGGTGGAGGAGAATTTAAAATTGGGTTTATCTAACTTAATAAGTTTATATATTATTAAAAAGAGAAGGCCATTTTCAGATGGGCCGTTTGTCAAAAATATATTGTGTAAATTTTTTGAAAAACTTAATTTTATTCATTACTTTTTAATTGCAAATTGAATAGTGATTAATTATTTCTGAAAAAAAAAACAATAATTTCCATTTCTTTTTTTTTTTTTTTGGTTGTTTGTTATAATTACGTATTTTATTTATATAAAGAAAAAAAAAATGACGACACCCGCCACACATGTGCTTTCGTCGCTATCTCGTTGACGACTAAATAAAATGAATAGAAAAATCTTTTCTTCCAGTGTTATTTCGTCGCTCTCACCAATACTACTACATTGGGCATTGTAAAGTATCAAAAAAGCCAACAATGAAATCTAAATCGATGCAACAAGCTGGAATAACCTATTTGTTTAATATTTGGCTAACTTTGTCAATGTTGCATAGATAGCACCCATAAAGCAAACGAGCATTTGCTGGGACCAAAGGAAGTTAGGTGAAACTTTACAGAGGTATTTTTATCCTATACAACTTTGTGGAGAAGGTATGATGGTTCGATTAGAGCCAGAATTTTGCAACGACTATACCGATCATGATATCTCGACGATATAGCTATGTGTGTCCGTCCGTCAGTCCATTATAATTTTTAATGTTACAGGTCACAAATAGATAATATGCCTGTCACACCGATCGACGTGGAATCTTTAGAATGATGGTCTGTTCCACAACTGAAAGAATGTAAAAGTTTTTACTACGATAACCAATTTTCCCTTTACGATATTGAAAACCATTACAAAACTAGTAGAATCTCTCAGATTCTGGAACAGAGAAAATATCAATCCGTTTTAATTAGAATAATCGAAATCCATATTTTAATTATTGTGGCAGAAACCTACAAAATTGCCGAAAATCGGGAGGTACCGTTATATGGGGGTTATACCAGCTAGTGGATCTTCATCGACCATAATTCCCAAGGAGAGAACAGACCTACCGAGTTGGAAATTGTGGCAGAAACCTTCAAAATACCGAAAATCGTGCTACACCGTTACATGGGGCTACACCTAAACATGGCCCAATATAGCCCATAGCAAAAAAATTTCGAAAATAGCATCAAACTTTAACTGCCCGAATGTTACTCTGCGGTATTTTGGCCACTTCCCGGCGAAGCGTTTGCTTGAGATGATCGACACTTTGGTATTTTTTAGTGCCAATCTTGCTTTCCAAAATACTCCAGATCCAATAGCCCAACGGATTGGCATCCAGAGATTTTGGTGGCCATTGTACGCTGGAAATGAAGTGAGGAACTTCATTTTTTAACCATTCCTGGGTGGCGCGTGCTGAGTGCGATGGTGCTGAGTCCTGTTGAAATGTCCAAGGTATGCGGCCAAAATGTTGGCGTGCACAAGGCTTTAATACACCCTCCAGAATATTTTCGCGATAATATTCGGCATTTATTCTGATGTCACGGTCGATTAATACGTGCAGAGAGCGACCATCGGCTGTTATGGCGGCCCACACCATCACCATGGCCAGCGCTTGAGTTCTGGTGGCCAATCGAAGGTGCACATTTTCAGCTGACCTCTTTGGCAGGTAAACACGATAATTTTGTTTGTTTACAAACTGCTGGACAACGAATGTTTTCTTATCGGAGAAAACCAAATTCGGCAGTTCACCATTTTCGTCCAAGGGAAGCAACTCTTTAGCTCTTTTGAGTCAATTCTCTTTCTGTTGCGGTGTAAGTTCTTGCACTTTTTGGAATTTCAATGGCTTTACCCCGAGCTCATTTTTCAATTTTTGCCGAATGGAATATTGCGATATGTTCAGCATACGAGCCATTTTTCGGCCCCTGCGACGCGGGTTTCGATCAAGTCGCTTCTTTACTTTTCGAAACATTTCTGCTGAAATCACACTATCACGCTTGAATTCCATCACGAATAACTTTTTTTCTGAAAAATTCCCACCAAAATGCTTTTGTACGCTTGTAAACCTGTCACTGGACTAATTTTAACAGCTGTCGGACGAGTGGCTTGGAAATGACAGCAGTCTGAAGTTGGTTGCAGTTTTTTCATCTCACCCTGTATTCTTACTCTTGTTTGCCGATATTGTCCCCTAAACAATAGCCGTTCATGAGCAAAATGAATAGACATCACCTGGACAGAAACACCAACATCGGTCCCAACTACTACCGCTGTTTCATGGTTTAGATGAACAAACACAAACGTTGCGTTAATTTTAGTTATTATGTCGGTGCGTCTACAACCATTAATTCGATGTGTTACAGACCACCATCCCCAGGTCGGGGGTAACAGTAATATTAAGGAACACCACAATTCAACAGTGACAAAAAATTAAATGAAAAGGAAAGTTTTATTTAATCAATGAATTATTTTTGTTTAGTTTCATTCGGTAAAGAATAACTAAGTCCTTAGAGTATCCTCCTCTTCGTCGTTGCGAACCCAACTACAATTGAGAATTTCACGCAAGTCCCAACGAGCCTGGGGCTCTGGCTCCAATAGAACTGCCACTGTAGCCTTAGCCTGCGCTGAGATTTGATCTTGCAGCTTACGACGAAATGTGTATTTTTTATTGCGCTGGTCTTCGAGTAGCTTGGTGAGATTGTGATCATCAAATGGCATTTTCGCATTCAGCATTATAAAGAGAATAACCCCTAGGGACCATGCATCGGCCAACTTGGGATCGTAGGGACGACCAGAGACAACTTCGGGCGCTGCATAGGCTGCCGAGCCACAATAGGTTTCCGATTTTATATCACGACCATTCTCGTCACGACAATACCGAGCAAACCCAAAGTCAGCTAACTTTACATTGAGACGCTTCGACAGCAGAATATTCTCACATTTGAGGTCTCGATGGGCAATGTCGTGAGAGTGCAAATACTTGACAGCTTTTGCCATCTGCATAAACCAGGCCTTGGCTTGCAGTTCCTCCACGGGACCTGACTTCTTGATGTAGCTCAACAAATCACCGTTCTCAGCATACCGCATGAAGATGAAAATTTTCGAACCACGTTGTAGAATACTATGGATTTGAATAATGTTTGGATGGTCAATTTTCGTTAGAATTTCCAATTCGCGTGGAAAGAATTTATGCACAAAGTCTGAAGGCGCCTTTCCCTTGTCGATTATCTTGCACGCCAAGTGCAAGCCCTGTCCCGTGCTATCTGCATAGCCAGCCGTTATTACCGTGGCATAGGAACCTTCTCCAATTTTATGGCCAATGTTGTAGCCCCGCTGTGCCAGAGCATCAATGTCCGAGTTTCGAGTACTCAGCTGGCGACTAGAGGCTGTTGAAAATTTTGACATAATTCTTTGGGTTCAATGGTGCTGATGATGGAATTTTGGTCAATTGTATCTAGAGATTTTCGGATGTTTGGAATTTATGCCCGAAACAAAGAACTCCTAAAAGCTGTACAATTTGCAATGACAGAGATGGAAATGAAAAGAGTACGAATTGAAGGAAAAATTGAAATTGGAATTTAAAAATAAATATATTTACATGTTCAAAATTTGACACCACAGGGGCGTAGTAAAAGTAAGGCATGAAAACTGAGTAAATTTAAGAATTGAATATTTTCATCTGCTGTCTTGCATGCCCAGATAGTGCATGGGCCGCATCATGACCTATATAAGGTCGGCCAGTAAAGCCAGCCAAAACCTATATAAGGCCAAGGAGACCCCATCTGACAATAAACTTAGTAGTTTTTGCACTATTGCGATTTAAATCACTTTAAATTTCAAATCATAATATGTCTTGGCTGTCAGATGGGCTTACGGGCCGACCTTATGTAGACCATCAACACAGCGGACAACTAAGTTTTCTGTAAAAATACATAATTGTTATTTAAAATTTAAAAAATGCTGTCAAAAGTCGGCAAAATTAAAATTATTGTAATTTCGGTTATTACAAAAATAAAGTAATCTCTAAGTCCTACCCACAGCAATAGTTGTGATAACTTCAATGTAGACTTTTCATTGATAATTTTGTTTTTCAAATTTCCCGATATTTGTCGATAACTCAAAAAATGCGTTACAGAATCCAACAACTGATATAGGCCTTGGGTCGCATTAGAAAGTGTTCCAGAACAACTTGTAGAACACCACCCGCTTATTTTTAATAAACATTAAAATCGAAAATTGAAATTTCATCACAAATACATACATACATGGTGCAATATACCATGCATACATATAGAACTTATTAATGAATTGGGATATTTCAACTTCATTTCAGCCTTATTTCGTGGTGTCAGGTGCATAACTGTTGATGCAAAAAGCACCAACGAAAATGAAACGGATACATCTGCCATCCATGAAGTGCAATATAAATCCAGCAATATTGAAGAGAATGTCACCTTGTCTACCGGGGACTCGGAGCTTAGTGCATCGGAACGTACAAGACGTTTAATTCCGTACATGGCCTTTTATGTGCCCGTCCAAGATCTGCCCATTAACCAGCAGTATGCTGCAATACCAACGGTAAGACTATCATTTTCAATGATTTCAATGAGCCCCTTAACCGAGTGCCAACTTCTTTTTATTTGTTTGTCTTTCGTTTCCTTGTCATTTTCATAGCAGACAAAAAATGGACCACGACTCAGTGGAACAGGCACATCTTCAGGGTCGCACATTCCCCTGCCACCGCAATATGTTAACATGAAAACATATTCGGGGCCGGGAGCTGCGTCATATTTACAATCTCCAACAGCTGCTCCACATTATCAGGCCGATTCAGGCGATGCCTATCATGGGCTGGCAGCATACGGTGGTGGTGGTGTTGGGGGCACACCTCACCAAGAGCAGCCATATCAACTGGTACCAACAGCTATAAAACACATCGATAATGGCGCTAACCACAAATACCCTGGACAGCAGTTACTTTCTGCGGGATCGCCCGGCCCTTCGGCACCATCCGCTGGAATTAACTTGACTGGCAATAAGATAAATCCCATTCGGGTAAGTAGCATTAAATCGATGAGAAAGAAGAATGATTATGGAATTCATATAAATTTCATGTAATAAATAATAATAACAACAACAATCAAGGCGTTGCTTGTATTAGGGTGTCCAAACAGTCATGACAAATGCCATCAAATCTCGGGGAATGCAGGCAGCAGGCCTGCTTGACATAACAAGAAAAGGTCCTTTTTAACTTTAACAATAATTAATTAATAATAATAATTAATTTAATTAATACTTTCGGTTATTTTTTCGGCGAGATATCTCAAAGTAAGGAGCAAGGTTAGACAAATTATCTGATACCGCCGAGTTTTCCACTGTTGAATTATTGTAACTCGGCACGTCGGTTGCTAAATTTAGCAGTATAGAACGGATGATCACTGTTACAGCATTATCTGTCACTATTTGTGTCAGAAACCTACAACTTGAGGGTGTTTTTCTAAGAGCTTGCTGTTTTGAAATTTAAATAAAACACATTTCTTGTAAGTGAACATTTAAATAAAATGTCGGGCCTATTCTGGAGGTACAATTTTCGACAACCTTTTCAAGCACTTAAGGTCATATTTTAGCAATGACACATTGAATATTGTAGCTAAAATCATCAAAATACCGCACATAGGGAGGTACCGTTTTATCGGAGCTATACGAAGACCTGGACCTGCATAGATAATTTTTTGTCACAGACTGTAGCATTCATTACGAACTTCAAATGTGACATCTCAAACCATTTCGGTGAGTATTATACCTGAAATTGTCAAAATACCGAATATAGGGAGGTACTGATGTATGACCTACCGAATATAGGGAGGTACTGATATATGACGAAGACCTGGACCTTTAATTTTCTGTTATAGGCTGTAGTATTCATTGCGAACATCAAATACCAATTTTGAAACAATTCCGGTGAATAATGTCGCTAAAATTATCAAAATACCGAATATCGGGAGGTACCGCTATATGAAGTCTATACGAAGATGTGGACCTGCACAGACAATCTTCTGTCATAGGCTGTAGTATACGAACTTCAAGTACCAAATTTGAAACAATTCCGGTGAATAATGTCGCTAAAATTATTAGAGTACCGAATATCGGGAGGTGCCGTTATATGGGAGCCATACCAAAACGTAGACCCACATGGCCCATTTTCAATACCAAAAGTCCAGCAGACACAATACACATTTGAGAAAAATTTTATTAACCTACTTCATTTCGTTCGGAAGCTAGAGTGATTTCCACAGACGGACGGACATCGCTAAATCGACATAGAATTTTATGCTGATCAAGAACATATATATACTTTGTTGGAGGGTATAAACCTCCACCATAGTTGGAGGGTATATTAAGTTTTTCATTCCGTTTGTAATAGCGGCATTTTGAAAGTTTACATCGCGAAGTAACCTAAATAGAGGCATGTACCCTCTCTTCCACATATTTTTAAATTTTCATACACATATTTTAGATATAAAAAGAATATTTTAGCCCAAAATTCTAACCTTCAAACAAATCACCAAATTGATATTTTTGGTTCTTATTTGCAAATATGTTCAAAAACTCAATTGAAACGGTTTCAAAACAAGTCAAAATATTTTACAAAATTATTTGTCATCAAAATTCTAAATGTTACCTCAACGACAGTATTTCTTAAATATTAAAAACATATTTTAGGTTAAAGCCATACTTCAAGCGAGTAATTGCAAAAATTCTCCTACAAAACATAATTCAAATTGCTATTTTATGTAACTACAAAACCCTCCACAAATACCGATACTTTACGTGGCTATCATTAGAATTTGGACAGGTGACTGAAAACTGACCAAAAATTCAAAAAACCTAAAAAATCACCTACATCTCAAAAAGTCTAAAATGGCGTATAGAACACTTTAGCATTACACCGACGATATGGCACAACTTCTGACTTGCCAACTCTAAGCAATTGAATTCTCAAAAAATACCCTTCACCAGCATTAATAATTCTGACCGGGAATGATGGTTGTTATACTCATTTCATTTCTTGACACTCTAATACACTCTATCCTTGAACATTTTTTTCTCTCAGAATAATACTTCTTTCAATAAAACCGTTTGTATAGCATAAAACCGTACAGCATTTTCCACCACTGCCATCACATCCAGCCACCTCCTCATCGTCGACATCAACATATGAATCTGCCTCGCTGAAACACCAACGATACCAACAGCAGCAACAACAACATAGTGTCGCTTATCGTCCACGAACGAAACAATCAAAAATCAATTTAACACCATTTACACCAGCCAATTCCGTGCCGGGAAATTTTGTGCCAATTGTTTATACGCCAGTAAACAGCAACAGTAACAACAACCATAACATAGTCATAACATCACATGCTACATCCGCGGCTGACACCCACACCACCGACACCGATAATTCGCCACCAGACTTATCTACAACAACAGCAAATGGAGGTGGAAAGCAACAACAACAAATTGCAATTGAATACCCCGATCCATTGCATCCAGCTTCAATTGATGGTGTGACCCAACACCAACGTCCGTCACCGTCTACGCAACACCTCCAGCCCTTCTCACACCAGCATCGTCTAAATCCTAAACAGCCGGGACAATATTTTAGTGTAACGCCGTTGTCGTCTGGAAGAGACACAGGCAACTCCCAACATCAGGATATACAAGCCATTGGGTAAGTGTAGTCATCACTTGACTTTGACTTGGGTCGACCAGACGTCACCAAGTAGGTGACGAAGTTTTTCGGCCTTTCCCGAATGGATACTGCATGGGCAAGAACAAGATTTTTGTATGATTTTTGTATTCAATCGCCTTGAATTGCTAAACAATTCACACATACTTTCACACAAATATTCTCTCTGGCATGTTCACTTGCTTTGACGTCTGCCCTTATTCCGGTCGACCCTGCTCTCGATCTTTGATAAAAACGAGTAAGAAAGAGTTTTGGAAAATTCAGTATAGAAAAACTTTAAACTCATATGCTCTGTTCCAGAACTGCAGGAATGTAAACGTATTTACTACGATAAACAATATTTTATTCAGGATCGGAATAAAAGCCTATTGTTTTTGAAGATGTACGTTTATGGGTTCAAATGGCCCAAAAATTTAAAAAATTCCTGATTTTTTTTTTTACAGGTCACAATTAAAAACAGTAGACACGGAATTTTGTATTAGGTTAGAGTTTAGGACAGGGCAGAAGTGTACCGTTTTGGAAGACCATTGGATTATATTTAGAGAGTAAAAAAACCACAACTTTTGTGTGAAATTGTTTTCAATACCTATCAGCACGACAGACAGCGTAAATATAGGGCAAATACTCATTTGTGTGTAACGAAATCTGCTAAAATGGCACGACCATAGCCTTTGCATACTTGCTTATATACAGGCTGAGATGAAAAAACTACAACCAACTTCAGACTACTGTCATTTCTAAGCCACCTGTCCGACAGCTGTAAAAATTATTCCAGTGACAGCTCATTATATTGTTTAAAAGCGTACAAAAACATATTGGTGAGAATTTTCCAGAAAAAAAGTTATTCGTGATGGAGTTCAAGCGTGATAGTGTGATTTCTTCATATTTGGCTGAAAAGCACGGCAAATATTGAAGGCCATAATTCGTGCCAAAGGTGACCAATTCGAACAAATCTAAACTTATTCTAAAATTTGATGCTATTTCCGACATTTTTTGCTTTCATTCAATAAAATTAAAAAAAAAGTAAAAATTATGGCGTTTGACTTTGTTGCAGTTTTTTATCTCAGCCTGTATATAAATGTATGTATATTTGTCCTTATTGTCCATTTTCGCACCTGATCTAATTTTTATACCCTCCACCATTGTATGGAGGTTATATTAAGTTTGTCATTCCGTTTGTAACACCTCGAAATAGACATTTTAGACCCTACAAAGTATAAATATTCTTGATCAGCATAAAATTCTATGTCGATTTATCAATGCCCGTCCGTCTGTCCGTCTGTGGAAATTACTCTAGCTTCCGCACGAAATGAAGTAGGTTGAAAAAATTTTACTCAAATGTGTATTATATCTGCAGAATTTTTGATATTGAAAATGGGCCATGTAGTTCCACGTCTTCATATAAAGATATTTTGATGTTTTTTTTTTATTTACCGGAATTGTTTCAAAATTGGTATTTAAAGTTCATAATAGATGCTACAGCATAAAACAGAAAATGGGCCATGTAGATCCACGTCTTCGTATAGCCCACATATAACGGTACCTCCCGATATGCGGTATTTTGATGATTTTAGCGACATTATTTACCGGAATTGTTTCAAAATTCATATTTAAAGTTCGTAATAGATACTACGGCTAAAGACAGAAAATGGGCCACGTAGGTCCACGTCTTCGTATAGCCCCCATATAACGGTATCCCCTGATATTCGGTATTTTGATGATTTTAGCGACATTATTTACCGGAATTGTTTCAATTTTGGTATTTGAAGTTCGTAATGGGTATTACATCCTAGGACAGAAAATGTGCCATGTAGGTCGACGTCTTCGTATAGCCCCCATATAACGGTAACTTCCGATATTGGGTATTCTGATGATTTTAGAGACATTATTTTCCGGAACTATTTCAAATTTTGTATTTGAAGTTCGTAATGAATACTACAGCCTATGACAGAAAATTGTCTGTGCAGGCCCACGTCTTCGTACAGCCCCCATACGGACTGTACCCCCGTTTTATAACCCCCATGGTACCTCCCTGTATTCGGTATTTTGATGATTTTAGCTACATTATGAGCAGATTTTTTTTTTTTTTTTTTTTTTGAAGTTTCGCATTTGAATATTGTAATGGCTTGTGACAAAAGTTGCCATTGCAGATCCACGTCGTCGTATAGACCATAATATACGGCTATATTCGGTATTTTTAAGATTTTTACAGAATTTTTAACGGATTTTATTTTTTGATAAATTGTTAAATTTGTACCAAATGGTGGAGGGTATTCAAAGTTCTTGTTTGTTTTATCAAAATGCTACGCTATAGAAAGTTCGAACTATATCGGTTACACCCTTAGTGAATATGAAATATTTATTCGAGCTGGAGGAGGTACCAGAAGTAGTGGGCTATTGGGATATTAGATATTTTCCCACCTAACAAAGGCCTGACAAATATATTGCGATATACTAAGGAAGTGGATCGATATAACCCATCTTCGTTAAATTATTTCGGATTTTATAAGCGCTACGATTATTCATCGTCCCTTTGTTTGGACCGTACCAGAATTTTGAAACAAATCAGGAGTGTATGATTAGAGACTTATAATTTTTTTAATAACATGAAATTTGGTTGGGATCTTACCTATGGAAGTGAACGAATATGGCCCAACTGCCAAATATTAGATTTCGCAAAGTTCGAATTTCAACCCTTTGTGTGGAGGGAGAGATTGAGCGCGATAGCAATAGTAAGTTATTTAATTTTTCCGTCCATAATAATATTACTAATTTCATCCTTCCATTTGTAACACATCGAAATAATCGTCGGAGATCCTTTTAAATTTTCTAAAATCTTTGTGTAATATTTCGGACTTTAACGTGATTTCAACAGACGGACATCGTCGATTCTTCTGGGATTCATGTCCCAATCACGGTCCACCACCATTTTATTACGGTAAACCGTTGTTTTGTTTCGCATGTGCAGCTAAAATCCTATTATACAACATTTGAAAACTGAAGCATTTCCATTTATAGCCACAGCCACTTTGGACATTTCTGGCAGATATGTGAATAGCAAAGAGTGTTATTACAAAATCAAAACATTGGTCACTTTCATGACCACATTCATTCGATTTTATTCTTGATCATTGTAGCCCTTCATCCAGTTATGACCATTCCCAACAACAACAACATAGTCCCGAAATTGTCCTTATTGATGGCTCACCCCGACCGCCAAAGCATTCGCAACAGTTAACATTGATTGGATCCAAGCCACAAAACCAACAACAATATCACACAAAAACTATACAATTTCGTCCTTCGAAACCTGAGCATTTTTTCATATCAGAACAGGAGCACTCTGAACAGGTACAGCAGGCGACAAGTGCATTTACTAAAGTAAGACCCAAGCCAAATATTTCGTTTATTTTTAGCAACGTCCACGTCCCAGTGATAAGTACGCCCAAACAAAGAACCAACCACATCAATTGGAACAGGACCAAGGACAACATCAACTCCTGACCAAACCCAAGTATCGTGAGCGCATCAAACAAACACCAACACACATATTTGTTCTCAGCTCGACTGTGTCACCAAATGATGCTTCATTGAATACCTTGTCCCCAATTCTTTCCTCTGCAATATATCCACAACAACCCAGTGCCATACATCACCACTCCTTGTATACAAGGCCAGAACATAACCCATCTGCTCACAACATACGAAACAACGCGGCATTGGCCACCCCACCCCAAACACAGTCACAGTCACAACAACAACTGCCACTCGGCGAACAAATCCTTACAATTCCAGTTCACAATCTCTTTAGTGATTTACGAAATAATCAGCACAACAATCATCAACAACATCATCACCACCACTTTGCATCATCCCCACCACAGGGTATTCATTATCCTAAACTCAATGGGTAAGTAGGAGAAACTCTGCACCAAACTTCATTTAAGAGCATGGAAATTCCATGCTAACCGTGTCCTCACTTTGCTCGCCAGCACAATTTCTTCAACCACACAAAAGTGTTTCTTAAGACAACCATAGATTTTTTTAAGCAATTGCCTCCTCGTGAGATGACTTTGATTTATTTGATTTGAAACTCTTTTGTAACAGACCTTCAACGCCACAATATGCCGACTATCCTGTAGATGAACCGAAGCAATCCTTGGATGAAGACCACGACAATGAGTCGTACCGACAACCGGCGGCACAGTTGCCCCTAAAACCCACACTGGGGCCACCAACTCACGCCTTTGTTGTGGTTACAACCGCAGCACCCCCAACATACCACCAGCCTGTGATCCAAGAAAATTATGGCTCCACCGTTCGACCTCTGTACAAAAATAAACCGAATATCAAATTACAGCCCGTGACCAAGGAGAAGAATGTAAATTATCCAGTCATTAGGCAACCGAATCCAACGGCAAGACCTTCTCCTGCCCTAGTCTCAACAACTCCAAATACCATGATTGTGGATTCTGCTCCCAAATATGTTTACGTCAAAGAGGAATTTGGACAGAAACTGGCTACCCCTCCACCAATAAAACTGAAACCAGTGCAAAAATATGAAAACGATAATCACATTCCTACAAAACAACAGCCACACGACCAGCTGCAACACCTACAGCCACAACCACCGGTCGCCGGTCATGGACACAACGAACTCTCATCCACGGTGGAGTCCACCCCACCACAACGACACACTTTATCCGATCCAAACGAGCTGCCCGACATACGCACATCCTCACTGGCAGAAATATTGCACAAGTTACAAGAGAGCAACCACCTGCCGCATACCTTGACGCCGGACAACATTGACAATTCCATCAAAACCCTCATTCGTATATTGAACAATTTGAAGAAGACCCAAACGATTGTGGCCAATCCACCACAGCACCATGAGAGTTCCCCGGCCATTTCGCCGGATTATGATTATGCAACGGGTAGTGAGGAACAGGACCAGGATTTGCCGCACCAACAAGGTGATGTGCGTCTCCCCATACCAGTAGCAGCCAATACACCAAGTAAGGGCGGAAATTTGCCTACAACTTCAAGGTTTCAATAATGTTTGTATCGCTTATTATTATTATTTGTTTTTGTAGACAAACATCCCGGACCCAGTACTGGAAGACCCGGCATTGACTATCCAAACTATGCTGAAATACCTCAGACTTCATTTGACTGTTCGCAACAGCGGTACAAAGGATTTTTCGGAGATCCCGAAACAAATTGCCAAGTATGGCACTATTGTGATCTGAATGGCGGCAAGGCGTCTTTCCTCTGTCCGAATGGAACGATTTTCAGTCAGGTATATTTTTTATACATTTTAGACCCCACAAAGTATATTACGTCTGCAGGATTATTCACCGGAAATGTTGCAAATTTGATACTAAATACTAAAATCTGTGACAGAAAATTGTCTGTGCAGGTCTACGTCTACGTATATCCCCCCATATAAGATTTTTAAGATTAGTTTATAAATTATAGCTTTTTTCCCAGCCTTTTTACATTTTAGGCTACTATCCACTTTTATAAAAAGTCCCTCAGCAACAGCAGCATTTAAAATAAAAAAATAAAAACAAGTAAGCAAAGGCTATAGCCATGCGGGGCCGACCATGTGATACCCTACAACATCACAATATGATGAAGCCCCCTTATGTAACAATCGAATTTGGAAGATTTCGCTTTTGAAATGATGTCATAGAGCCCCGCCCAGATATTAGCCTTATCTTTTTGTACGGGGCATTTGCCCAATATTTAAGCACACTTCGCACGAATGTTGTGGTCCATTTCACAGCTAAATATAATCCGATGGTCATCCAAAATGCTAGACTTCTTCCCTGTCCTTAACTCTCTTCTGATACAAAATTCCGCGTCGATTGGTTTTCAATTATGATCTGTAGAGCGACTGCAAACTCAGGAACAATTTTTTGGTCCATTTAAACCTCTAAATCTTCAAAAACAATGGGCTTTGATTCTGACCCAAACCCTACACTGATATAAAAGTTATACTTTATTTTACCCGCTAAATATTTTCCGATGACTGTACAAATTGGCTTCGACCCAGCTCTAAGCTCTAACTTCATGCAAAATTCCGCTGCTTTATAATTGTAGCCTGTATAGCAACACAAAAATCAGAAAATAATTTTGGTCAATTTTAACCCCAAAATATTTTGAAATCATCTCTAAAAACAATACGCTTTTATTCTGAACCTACCCCCAACTCCATTTTCCATTTCGTGAATAATAAATATTTTCCGATGACTGTACAAATTGGCTTCGACCCAGCCCTAAATTTGAATAATAAATATTTTCCGATGACTGTACAAATTGGCTTCAACTCCAAATTCATGCAAAATCCGGTTGGTTTATAATTGTGGCCTGTAGAGCAACAGCAAAATAAGAATTTTTTGGTCAATTTTAACCCCTAAATATTTTGCAATCATCTCTAAAAACAATACGCTTCTATTCTGACCCTATCCCCAACTCTATTTTTTATTTCGTGAGGATCGTACCATAATTGCGATCTGTAGCGTAATTACAAATTAACATGGACAGAGGGATGGACGCGAGATGGGAAGATCCATATACTTAACTTATAATACCCAACACATAGTGTTGTAGGGTATAAAAACAAGCCCAATTCGACGAAAAGTATAAAATCATTGAATGATTTTTCCAACCTGGATTGCAGAGTCCAACATTTTTGCAGAAGTTACAGTAAACATGACCCCGACTCCACATATATCTCCTACTTCATTGTGCGACAAATTTCATTTTTTTCAATAATTACAACAAGTATCCAATAGAATATTAAAGTAGATTTATGATTGGAAGACACGTTTATATAATGATAGGGCTTTATTGGCCTTTTTCAAAATATATTTATACTTCCGACATTTTTTAAACCATTGATTCTTGAAGTAATTCGAGGCTCTCTATAAATTGTGAAAAGTCAATAGAAAATATTTGCGAAATAAATCTCTAAATATTGGGTTCCCTTGGCATATGGTCGAGGATATATAATGATCTTAAAAAATTCTCAAAATAAATCGAAAATGTTTTGGGCTTTTGGGTTTTATAAATTGTGGTTTGAATTTTGGGGTTATATAAATATACGTAATTTTTATTAAACTTACAATAATGAAATTGAGCACTTTTTGCAAAAAAAGTTTATATTGGGAATTTAAGTGAAGTGGATCATACAAACTATGATCCAAATAACATTGTTGTATAGTGCATGATATGACTTCGATAAGGATTATATTAAAAAATGGATATACTGGACCTAGTTTCACCGAATGGTAAAATTCTGTTGAATATAAAAAAAATCTATTCAATTTGGGATGGTGTTACATATATGGCGAGCAATAACCGTAACATCGGATGAAGATGTTACAGCCGTGTATCGAAGCTATATAAAAATCTGAACCGGTCTCGATAAAATTTGGCAAAGGTATCTAATGCTCGGTTTCAAATATCATTGTTGAGGAGTGCATATTACGCATGTAAGGTTCTTTTACACCAAGTTGGATGAAACATACATATGTGAGCTATATCTATAACTGAAACGATTTTTACAAAAATGTGAAGCGCTTGCTTTTAGACCGAATTCCGTCGTAAGTGCCAAAATTCAGTCCATTTGGGCTGATATTAGGTGTACAAAAATAGTGAAATCGGATCAAGATATATATGGGAGTTATATCCAAATCTGAACCGATCTAGACAAAATTTTAAACACTAATTTCTGAGCGGTATCTGATATCTGGTCCTAAAGTTTATTGTTGTGGAGTGCATATTTCGCATGTTAGGGACTTTAACACAAAATAGGATAAAACATATTTATGGGGCTATAGCTATATCAGAACCGATTTTCACCAAATTTGAAGTACTTGTTTCTATGATGAATTCAGTCGGAATTGCCGAAATTCAGGTCATTTGGGCTGGTGTTAGCCATTTGGTGCACAATAAACCCGATAAAGATATATAACTATATCCTAATCTGAACTGGTACCAAATATCATTCTTGTGTAGTGCATATTACGCATGTTAGGGACTTAAAATCCGAAATCGGATGAAAAATATATATGAGAGCTATGTTTATATCTGAACCGATCTTCTCCAAATAGGATTCATCCATTGGCCAAACTAATATTATTTGCAAAATTTGATCTCTTTCGGATAATAAATGCGACCTGCATTTTGTTCACAAAAATACGGACTGACATGCGTAAAACGACTCAGAAAGAAGAAGAAGATCTTCGAAAATAATTATGTGTCTATCTCGCTTCCTTCTTTATGTTACAAACAAATGCACAAAGACATAATATTTTAATAACAGATACACAATTAAATTGACATTTTTTATTTTTATATTTAAAATAATAGTTTCCCAACTGAAGAAACCAATCAAGTGTTGCCACAACATTTTTTTTATACCCTACAACACTATGTGTTGGGGGTATTATAAGTTTGATTGGGCCAAAAATTATGTAACACCACGAAATATTGATTTCCCACATAGGAAAGTATATATGGATCTTCCTATCTCGCCGAGCTGAGTCGATCTAGCTATGTATGTCCGTCCGTCCGTCTGTCCATGTTAATTTGTAATCACTCTACAGGTCGCAATTATGGCCCGATCTTCACGAAATTTGGAATGGAGGTGGGGCTAGGGTCAGAATAGAACCCTATTTCTTTTGGTGATGATCGCATAATATTCAGGGGTTGAAATGGACCAAAAACTGAAAAAATTCCTGATTTTGCACTTGCTCTACAGAACGCAATTATAGCCCAATCGACGCGGAATTTCGCATGTAGCTAGAGTTTAGGGCGGGGAAGAAGCCTACCCATTTGGGTGGTCATCGGATAATATTTAGCGGGTAAAATAGACCATATCTTTATTGTTGAAAAAATTCAAAATTTTTCATTAAACCGCGAATATTTTAAATCCCGGCGAAATCACAAAGCCATGACAAGGTTACTTCTAATCTTTACATTGATGTTAACATCCAACAAAACGGATATATAGCAAAATATGTGCGATATATATTTCTATCAAAGAAGATATGCTTGAAAGATCTCTTATATGTCGAGAACGGCTGAACTGATTTCGACAGTTCTCATTAATTCAGAATGGCCTCTTGGCAGGAAAGAAAAAACGTCTAAAAAAATCGCATAAAAATATCTCTCTAAAGATGAAAATATTGATTTTGTAAAATTTTCTCATATTTTTTCAATTTTGTCATATTTTTGGCATATTTTCATTTTAAATTCAACATTTTGTAATATTTCTACAGCTAACACAACTAAGTAGTTAGGATATCAGGATATCATATACAGATCGCATTTATGGCCCGATGCTTACGAAATTTTGCATGGAGATAAGATGAGGGTCAGAATAAAAGCCTATTCTTTTTGGAGATGATCGCCATATATTTTGGGGTTGAAATGGACCAAAAAACTGCAAAATTGTCAGCAGGTCGTAATTATCGCCCGATCCTCATGCACATTTGAATGGGGGTTACCGGACATTGCAAAAGCCAAGCAGTTTTGGATGGCCATCCAAAAATATTCAATGTGTGAAGGAGTTTGCCAACTTTTGTAGACAAAATAAGAAAATGTCCATTCCAGTGACTTTTTGGAGAATTCACTTCTGACTATTTCGTTAAGGCTGATTTCGTTGAAGAATATAGTCAAATGTCTGTATCTCATATAGATGCGTTTCAGTCAAAAACCAATAATAAATGTAATTCTTTTGCCACTTCTGAGAGATTATAGGTCTTTGGGAAATATTGGTTCCAGATCTAGGAAGACCATTTACGTGCAACATCTACCAATAAATTAGAATATCTTGTGGAATTCTTTCGAGTATCTCGCCTATATAAACTGTATCGTTTATTATAGTGTTGTAGGGTATTCAACGGTCGGCCCCACTCGACTGTAGCCTTTGCTTACTTGTTTTTTTTTTTTTTTTGAAAATTGATCAAAAAATTTGAAAATATTTCTCCAAACATTTTCTTGATATATAATCGAAATAGAGATTTATTTTCATTGGTGGAAATTGATGTAGAATATTTTTGTCTTTAACGTCATCCTTCTAAAATTATGTTTTTAGGACTTTTATAAAATTCCGGCGTTTAGGTAAGATTTAGAAGGGCGCAAAGAAATTGTTATTTAAAATTGAATCTATTGTGTTGGTCAAACGGATAGAGGTAGAATTCTGAAATTTGGGGTGAAAAAGGAGAGTAGGACGAATGAACTAAAGTTTTATTGAAATTTGAACTAAAAGAGCACTAGAAGTACTGTGCTTTTAGAAGTACTAGATTCTAGTATTCTTTTACATTTGGTATTATGCGGACGGATAGAGCTAAACTGAAGACATAAGGTATACGAATTTAGTTGGGGACCTACGCTTGATATAAGGATGTGGTTTTTGAAATGTGTAACAAGTGTAAGAACTGTACTAAATGGTTCTAAATTTGTAGGGTTGAAATTTGAAGATGGTTTTGAAAATATGTACGAAAAAGTTTGTAAAGTACAAAATGGTACCAAATTTAGTATATGGAATATGGATAGAGCTGGAAATCTGAAATTGGGTACTAAGGTAAATTTTTGTGAGATGGGCTCGAGATATGGTGGTGGATTTTGAAAAACGTACCCAAAAGTAAGAAAATTACTAAATGGTATCAAATTTGGTATTTAGGGAAGATATAGAGTTGGTAGTCTGTAAGGTAAGGTAGAGGCAGAGTTGGTAAGTTTGGAATTAAAGTATTTGATGTTGAATGGGTTTGATGAACCGAAAGTTTTTATGGAAATTCAAACAATAAATGTTATACGGCAATGTAAGAAGAGTAATGAAAGAAATGTTGATATGAAGAAATGTATGAAGTAAGTGTAAAAACTGTACTTAATCGTACAAAATGTGTTACAATTTGGTTTTGGGTGAGTATAATACATTTTTTTCCATTCACCATTTAGTATAGAAAGAGAAAAGAAAACGGTACTAAATTTAGCATATAGCATGGAAATAAAAGTGGTATTGTAAATTTGTTTTAGGATAACAGTGAATGCGATTCATTTAGATAAGGAGTCAAATTTGGAAATTATTAAATAGTACTCTATTTGATATACAGAGTGAGATAAAAAAAAACTGCAACAAATTCAAACGCCGCAATATATTTTTTTTTAAGCTCTATTGAATGAAACCAAAAAAATTCGTAAATAGCATAAAATTTTAGAATAACTTTAGATTTGTTCGAATTGGTCACTTTTGGCCTTCAAACGGCCAATGAAACCGTCACACGCGTCCCGAATGTTGCTCTGCGGTATTTTGGCATTTGGATTGACATTTTGGTATTTTTTAGTGCCAACCTTGCTTTCCAAAATACTGAAGACACAATAGTCCAACGGATTGGTATCCGGAGACTTTGGCGGCTCTTTTGAGTCTATTTTCTTTCTGTGCGGTGTAAGTTCTTGCACTTTTTGGAATTTCAATGGATTTACCCCGAGCTCATTTTTCAATATTTGCCGAATGAAATATTGCGATATGTTCAGCTCACGAGCCATTTTTCGGCCACTGCGACGCGGGTTTCGATCAAGTCGCTTCTTAACTTTTTGAACCATTTCTGCTGATGTTGCTGTTTTCTTCCGTCCATTTCCTTGACGTCGGGCTACACAATATCACGGTAACGAGCGATGGTAGGAGACACAAAAGATTTATTCACATTTCAATGTTGGAGTGCTCTAACGATAGCCACTTGTGGTTTTCCACGAAATCACACTATCACGCTTGAATTCCATCGCGAATAACGAAATAATGACAGCAGTCTGAAGTTGGTTGCAGTTTTTTTATCTCACCCTGTATCACAGGGTGACAATCACATATTTTTATGAGATTTTATTTTAGATTTTATCCATTTTTGCCATTCCGAATTGGTGTGAATTCTCAAAATCTGAGCACTCGTTTTTGAGTTATAGCGCAGTAACTAACATCACTTTCTTTTATATATACATTATATATAGATTACAAATGGAATCTAACGAAAATGCAAATAATTCGAGTTATAACAGTAATTTTCTATTTTTTTTTTTTTTTTTCAGTTCCAACTGACTATCTTCGATTTATTTTGCAATTCTCAAAGTATAATATATTGTATGTTTTTGAATTTCCATTAAAAATTAATAAAACATTTTAAGTAGGAAATGGTCATTATGGTGGTTCATATATCATATGGTGGTTTAATTCTACTAGTAACGGCGTGAGCAAAATGTCGCAGTGATGCCCTGATCATTCCTGCTTAGAATACAACATGTTAATCCTGTTAGGATGCTCTTAAAAACATATATGATGATTGTTTTATTTATTTTAAATAAACATTCAAATTCAAAGACATTTTCTGAATAAAAAAAGAATGTGTAGCATATTTGCATTGGAGCTTTTTTGTCGGGTTGGGCTTCTTTATATGTACATGTTGGGGAATTGGCCATTTACAACAAATTTCCATATCCAATACAAACGAAACCTACAAATAAACAAATTCATTTACTCTGCTCCAGAACCTACCGGTTTTGCAATTTTTCCGTTATTGTAAAGGAAATATGGGTTATCGTAGTACAAATTTCTACATTTTTGCAATACTGGAACAGAGCAATTTCATATGACTTTCATAGATTTTTGTATCTACACTACTCATTTCTATTCTAATTTTTTATTTTAGATTGCCCTAACCTGCGATTGGTGGTTCAATGTTAAATGCGCCGCAACGGCACAACTATATGTGTTAAATGAGCGTTTGTACAAATACATCTTACCATTTACTCCTAAATTCCCGGAAGACTACAGTGGACCTCTGGTTGATAAGTGAGTGGTAACCAATTTTGTAAAATATATAGAAATAATTAACAATGTCATGTATATAACCTATGTACTTTTTTTCTGTTTAACAGGTATCTTGCGCTGAAATTCCAAGAGATGGAGGAAAAAATGCGCCTAGAAAAAGAGAAGGCATTGGAAGAAGCAGCTACAGAACAGGAAAATCAAGCAGAATCAACATCTGAAGACAGCAAGGAAGACAATAATTTGGAGGAAACTACAACGGAAAATGAATCACCCAACCCTCCTAAAGTATCGGTATTGCATAAACATGAAACCGTCAATTCGCAAGTAAGTGAGCAAAGTTCCGAAAGAAACCTTTTAATTGACGACGAAGTGGATGATATATCACAACGTGGCTCAATCGATACATTCGAAAGTACAACAATATCTAGTGTTGCCAACAAAGATTTGCCATTGAGTCTGAGACCAATTGTAGTATCTTCCACCGTCGAGCCGGATTACGATGAAGAAGAACAACAACACGATAATGATCAAAAAGACAACGACAATGAAAAGCCAGATAAAAACGAAGAAATTCTACAAGAAATAATAGTAAATATTCCCAAGAAGAATGAGCACTCCACGCCAACCTCCAAGGGAGAACACATGAAAATAACAGTAGAAAAAGTAGATGTAATTGAAATAAAACCCGATGGCGCCACTGGTCATTTAATACGTGAAATGATATTTAACAGTGAGACGAAATAATATAACTATTTCGGCAATATGTTATACTTTAGGAGACTGAAGACAAGCCAGCCAATCAGCAAACTAATCAAAACTTTCTCAACAAAGTACACATTATCCAAGTAGTGCTATTCTTTAATAAACCGTATGAAAATCTCCTAAAGAGTTATAATTCTATGGACTAGCAACAATTTCATACATCGTTCATATGCACACATATTTCATATTTTCATTGAACAAATTAAAAAGGCCCTGCACCATACTTTAATCATTTTCTGTATTTATTTATTAAAGAAAAAAAAACAATCGCGGCAAGTAAATCAAAATTATATTTGAAATTTTCACCTGAAACATAGTATTAATTCTCCACAACCATTCAGGAATGGCTACGAGAACTTGCCATATTTGATTTGTCTTTGTTAATAATTTCCATTTGAATAACATTTAGAATGATAAGTATTACCTATGTATATCGAAATCTTTATTATGTAAATATATTTTACACAACTTGTAGCATATACATTTTATGTTATCCAATATTTAATAAATAATTAATTTAAACAAAAAACATTTGTTTTGTTTTAATTTGTTGCCTTTTTAGGGCGCAGGTAATTTGTGAATGTATATTTGATACTTTTGGACCTACAAGGATGACATTGAAAATTAGAAACTAAAGAAGTCCCACGCATCTAACCAGTATACCAAGCGTTTCGCATTTGGTGAAGCGGCTTATCAGGCATACGAGATGCTATTCGAGACGAATCATTTTTAATCCAAAACGGTTTATAGTCTTAAAGTCGATAAATAAGAAGGAAGAAGCACTCATTTTATTATACCCTACACCATATAGTGGTAAGGGCATTATGTCTTTGTGCAGGGAGAAGGAAGCGAGATAGACCCATAGTCACTTTGAGGATCTTCATAGAATTATCTTTTGAGTCAATTTATGCATGTCAGTCCGTCCATGTATTCTTGTGAACAAAATGCAGGTCGCATTTATTATCCGATTAAGATGAAATTTTGCAAACAATATTAGTTTGTCCCAAGGACGAAATCTATTGAAATTGGTGATAGCTCCCATATATCTTCTACCGATTTCGGGTTAATTGTGCACCAAATGGCCAATATAAGTCCTAATGACATCCCACCAAATTCAGTCTAGAAGCAAGTACATATAATGTGAAGAAAATCGGTTTAGATATAGCTATAGCTCCCATATACATATATGTTTTATCCGATTTGGGGTTTTAAGTCCCTCACATGCGAAATATACATGCCACAAGAATGATATTTGGTACCGAACATCAGATACTGCTCCAAAATACCTCTGTCAAATTTTATCGAGATCGGTTGAGACTAGAATATAGCTCTCATATGCATTTTTAACCAATATCAGGTTTATTGGGCATCAAATGGCTAATATCAGCCAAAACGGACTGAATATTGGCCATTACGACTGAATTCATCCTAGAAACCAGTACTTAAAATTTGGTGTAAATCGGTTCAGATATAGCTATAGCTCCCATATATATTTTTCATCCGATTTGGTGATTAAGTACCTCATATTCGTAATATGCATTCGACAACAATAATATTTAGTACCAGATATCTTGCAGAGCTCGGAAATGCCTTTGCCAAATTTTATCGAGAACGGCTAAGATTTTAATATAGCTCCCATATATATCCTTAATCCGATTTCAGGTTTATTGTGCAAATAATTGCTAATATCAGCCCAAATAGAGAGAATTTCGGGACGCACGTTTGCACTCGCCTTTTCGATGTGATATCATGCACTCTATAGCAATGTTAATTGGTATAAAAGATTAAAATGTCTCCTACAAATATAGTGAAAATCGATTCAGAATTGGATATACCTCCTATATATTAGTTCTCTCTGAAACCAAATTATAACTGCTCTAAAGCAAAATGTTGATAGTTGGTATGATCTACTTCAAATCAGGGTTTCATATAATCAATCTTCTGGTTTATAGTCGAATATATAATAGGGTGCTAAAGTCTTACGTCAACATTTCTTATTTGAGGATATTCTCCCCAGGATGTGTTGTAAACAACTTCCTTTGACAAAGAAAAGACATTTCATACTTGTTAAAGTGACCCTTGAATTGGTTAGTGGTCGAAATTAGAGAAAATATAGCTTTATAAAATATAGCTTTATTTACCGATGACATGGAATGCGAATTCATCATTCATAACAAAAATATGAAATTAACGGGCAGCCAAAGCATGGAACACGCCAATGAATAAATAAAAAAAATAAATAAATACGATTAACTGCTTAATTGAATAAAGATGCGGGTAAGACCTTTAAACACATATAACTGAATTCCAGTCCAAAACTTTGTAGTGCTTGTGTCGGCACCACAGTTCGGGACCTCCGTTCAGTCGACCTACGGACCCAATCAGCGCGACGTCGTTGGTCACATCGAGAAAAATATGAATTGAGGGGGTTTTAACAACTCACACTTGAGTCCATTAATAATTCTATTTAAAAACTTGATGTCCCCTTGCTCCTCATGGAGTTAATTAATGTTATGTCTAGCAGAAGAATCATCAACTCACACATATGGAAAAACTTAGTCAGGAGTTCGGTCACCAGGGGCACACCATAAGCCGGTGTTCTTTCACAATTATTGTGGCTAGTGATGATAAATGGCAGACTCAAGGATCTGGAACAAAATGGCATATGCTGACGTGTTTCTGTTGAAATCCTGCAAACAGTCTCAGATCTAATGCAAGAAGCTCCCGTTAAAATAGCAAGGTGGGTACAAAGCAGCGACTAACCAACGTAAGCCACTTATGGTAGATGAAGTCACACTAAGCCTATGTCCAGAAGAGCTAATTATCTACATACTGATATCTAGGCACAAGTACTAAGAAAGGGGAATATTGGGGAGCACACGAAGAGGGGTTGAAGTGTACTTTATTTTTGCAAGAACCCTATAGGCAAGAGTTGGAGGCTAAAACCGCATATAATTATACCATCCGTTGTACCAGCGAATCATTAATAAAGAGCAAAGATTCGCAACATTACTGATCAGAGGTGCATTTCGGTGTACACCCCGAGCTACATCGGATACCCTGCTTCACTTTGATCATTAGGGCTGCAATTTTAGGGTATGTTGAACACATAGAAGAGGAGTCAAAACCAGTGATAGTATTTCACCACGGCTGAACTTCAAACCACTAGACACTCATATACCTGACAAGAATATCTGAACCCGTAACAAGCCTGAATTTCAGACAATCCTTCAAATTTAACAACTGTTGCGTACCATCAAATCTGTGTCAGTTTTGGAGTGTAGGAATGCATTAGAAAAAGTTAAGTCGTTCATCGACCTTTGTTGGGTTTCAGACCAACATCCCATCTCTGGTAATAATCAGCAGATGAAGACGTGGAAACGAGTGAATCTATATTGAAACCACCTAACTACCACATCTTCCGAGTGATATACAGATATTACTTAGTGAGATTGCAATAAAACTGGCTGATTGAATGGTGATTTAATGTATCCAAGAAAATTTGGCGAAATCAGACCTTAACTTGTAGTGTGAATCACCACAGGTCACTGTGCCAAGATGAGGAGGAAACTAAAACCGTCGAATGTTTACTCGTTATGGGGGAGAAAATTATGCACGATCTGCCTTCATTCTCCGACACAGGAAGAGCAGTCATTCTTTAGTTAGCTAGAAGACTAAAGTGGCTAAAGACAACATGGCAAAAGATCTTCGCGGATTTCAAAATTACTTTTATGGACCAGCAGGTCTTCGAGTGGAGTATTTGCCTCAATACAACTGCGAGTACCTTTAACCTAACCTAGGGATAGAGTTCAAAACTTTGGAGTTTATTAAAACTTTTTCATTTCTTTCATTATCTTAAATTTTGTTTGTAGATGTATATTTTTTTAAAGTATTTCTTTTATTATTCACCGTCAAATTTCAACTTCATTCAAGTAAATTTCTGATTGCTTGTTGTTGGGTATTATGCGTCCATTGATTTATTTTTGTATTTTATAACTCGATTTAAAATAGTGTAGTGTGATAAGTATTTTTAAGTTATTTGTATTTTCTACTTAGTATTGAGTGCCTTATTAATGCAATTAATTGGCCTTGGAGGCTTTAGAATTAAGAAAGAATTGAACAAAGAAAGAAAACTAAAATAACTACCTACCATATTATGAATTGGAGTTATGAAGAATATAACATTTAATTTTGATACTAAAATAATATACATTTATTAGGCACAATAAGTTAGCATGCTATTTTTTTTTTGGCCAGGTATCGATTGGCAAAATGGTTGAGTGCACTTACCTTCAACGCCCGTTTAACATCACTCCGAAAGCTATTTACATTCTGCAATGTAGTGGATATACCATCCTTGTGCCTTTTATTCTAAAATATGAAATATTTTTTTATTTCAAAAATAGTAACTTTCTTATTGAATACATTTCACTACACTTGCCTCATCAATTATAGTTTTCCAGCCATGTTGTTTATGGTCATGTTTAGCGCATTCTGGACAACATGTACAGTCACATTTTGGACAGAAACGATCATGTGGTTTTTTGTGATATTTGCAGAAACCTGGCTTCAAAAAACGCTCCGTTTCTTTACTTTTAATTCTATTATCCAAAACTTGCAACTTATGCATTTTCAATGTTTTACCACATTTGTGTATTTCATCAAAACACCGTCGACAATAATACTGTTTACATTGACGGCATTTGCCCAGTGCAGGAACTAATTCGCATTCCGAACAATGTATTGTACCTTTTTTATTATTGTCAATCTGTGTAGTGGCCAGAAGTGTGCTGTTTGCTGAATTATCCTTGTTGTAGTAACGTAGATTAGTCAATTCGCCCAATAAATAGAAGTTCATATTAAAATGATCACGAAATTGAAAATTTTGTAACTGGCCATTATTTTCTGTTGGCAGTTCTATTGGATTTAGACAAATGTTGCACATAAGGGTTTGCCTGTTATTGACAATGCAGTTCTCACACAGGTTGTGTCCACAAGGTAGAAGAATGGGACGATTACTTCGGACAGTAACATCTGCAAATAAAAACAAGTAAAAATACATTAAGTACCATCCACCTTTGGATAAAGAAAACTTTCATATATAAAAGTATCTGATTTCAAACGTGTTGCGTGTTGCGTGTATGGGGACAATACAAAAACGGAAACCTCTATAGAAAATTTTATACTTCAAGGATTCTCATCTACCAAATCTTCTTAAATACCAAATTTGAAATAATTCCGTGGGTAAATATGACTAGGATTATCAAAATACCGAGGAGTTATCGGTGGGTATCGGTATATGTGCGCTATCGGAAAACGTGGGCCTAAATTTTCAATGTTCTGCCGCCGGCGCTAGAACCCATTCTGAACTACAAATAACCGTTTTTAGACAAATCTGTGGAAAAATGTAACAAAAGTTATTAAACTACTGAATATGCGGATGTACCATTATGTAGGAGCTGTACGAAAACGTGTACCTATACACACTATGTATAGCTCCTGTGGCGGAGTTACAACCCATTGCGAACTACAATTTTTAGACAAATCCGTGGATAAATATGGCAAAAAATCTGAAAAATACCGAATATCGGGAGGTACCGTAATATAGGGGCTATACAAAAACGAGTTGTACATAAAATGTTTCGTTACCGGAGCTAGAACCCATTATGGCCAATTATTAGACAAATCCGTGGGAAAATGTAGCAAAAATCATCAAAATATCGAATATATAGAGGTACCGTTATATGGGGGCTATACAAAAAGGCGGTCCTATACATACAATGTTTCGCCACCGCAGCTAGAACCCATTATGACCTACAAATACCATTTTTTAGACAAATCCGTGATAACATGTGGCGAAAATCATCAACATAATATGGCGGCAATACCAAAATGGACCGATATATCTAATTTTCAACCATCCTCGACACAATACAAACTGTTCTGCCAAATTTTGAAGTTCTACGTGGGCTGTATCGTACTTTCAACAGACAGGCCGTCGCACATCGTTGTATCGACATAGAATTTTATGTTGATTATGAATATATATACTTTATGGGGTCTACGACGAATATTTTGGGATGTTAGAAACGGAATGACAAAGTTAATATACCCTCCTTTTCAAGGTGGAGGATATAAAAATAGCACCTTTGTAAAGTTATATGAATTAAAGAAATGTAGTCAGTAGTGCAATTATTTTTTGGAAGTTAATGTAAAAAATAGGTAAAATTAAAAACTCTAGTAACATTTAAGAAAGTTGTTTCTATCGATAAAAAATAGCGACTACTTTATTATACCCTCCAGCATATCTTTAGTTATTTTTTATCTCATGGTGGAGGGAGTTAAAAGTTCGGCAAAATTACGTGGACGAACATGCATAGACGTACTCAGAATCAAAAGTAATTATGAAACTGTCTTGTTTCTTTATTTTGATCCCTGCAACACTATGTGTTGGGGGTATTATAAGCTTGATTGGGCCAAAAATTATGTAAGACGTCAAAGTATTGGTTTCCCACATAGGAAAGTATATATGGATCTTCCTATCTCGCCGAGCCGAGTCGATCTAGCTATGTATGTCCGTCCGTCTGTTAATTTGTAATCTCTCTACAGGTCGGAAATAAAATATTTTAGACAAATCAATTGATGAATGTGATCAAGACCAAGATGTTCCCTATTCGGAAAATTGAAAATTGTATGCGAAAAGGTATTCTACCCCATTAAAAACAAAGATGCCAAATAAGGGCCAAGGAATGAAAAAAGTGGGCAAAACGCCGAAAATAGCTTAAATTATATGATGGTTATATCAAAACGTGATCAGTTTTTGCAATGATGGTTTCTTCTCAAATTACCAAAATTTGCCGAAATTAGTATAAAAATATGGTTAGAATTTAAAATATGCTTGAAATCGGGTTGTACCCTTATCCGGGTACATGACCAAGGTATCTTGAAAGTTTAGGAAGAAATCCTTTTCTTACAAAATGCCTTTACTATATTGCATCCTTTATGTTCGGTATTTCACTGATTGCGGTCCCAATGAATTTTGCATTTTGAGTTCTCATTGGACGGATTATTATCATGTAAAAGAAGTTGGTCCGCCAGAATAAAAGCCTATTCTTTTTGGAGATGATCGCCATATATTTAGGGGTTGAAATGGACCAAAAAACTGCAAAATTGTCAGCAGGTCGTAATTATCGCCCGATCCTCATGCACATTTGAATGGGGGTTACCGGACATTGCAAAAGCCAAGCAGTTTTGGATGGCCATCCAAAAATATTCAATGTGTGAAGGAGTTTGCCAACTTTTGTAGACAAAATAAGAAAATGTCCATTCCAGTGACTTTTTGGAGAATTCACTTCTGACGTTAAGGCTGATTTCGTTGAAGAATATAGTCAAATGTCTGTATCTCATATAGATGCGTTTCAGTCAAAAACCAATAATAAATGTAATTCTTTTGCCACTTCTGAGAGATTATAGGTCTTTGGGAAATATTGGTTCCAGATCTAGGAAGACCATTTACGTGCAACATCTACCAATAAATTGGAAATGAGCAAATTAGTTTAAGTTGCTATTATTCGAAAATTAGAGAACGAAACCTGATGATTTTCTTTTATTATTTGTCACAATATCTTGTGGAATTCTTTCGAGTATCTCGCCTACATAAACTGTATCGTTTATTATAGTGTTGTAGGGTATTCAACGGTCGGCCCCACTCGACTGTAGCCTTTGCTTACTTGTTTTTTATTTATTTATTTTTTTTTTTTTTTTTTGCCAAGGTACCATTCCGAGATTTTATGATTTGTCAAAATCCGTCAAGCCGTTCTTGAGTTATATGTAAGCGTAGTAACTAACATAACTTCCTCTTCTTTAAGTCAAAATGGGGAAAATTATGCAAAATAAAACATTACAATTGTACATTTCAAAAGTCAAAATAAAAATGTTCAAATTTCACATTTTCAAGCGATTTTATTGGATTTAACGTCTGAATCGTTAAAATCAGATGAGCGGTTCTTGAGTTACGGTTATAAGTAACTAGCACAACTTTCTTTTATACATATATAGTTTTTCAATTAATACAGTTACCTAGCCCGTAGAGCCATGTTTAATCTTTAAAATTTTAATTAAAATTAAATATTAAAACAAATTATGGAAGAGAAACACAAAAATAAAATTACCACAAGAAAACCATGAACATTTTTTAAACAATATTTTGATTGAAGTGAGCGCAAATTTACGCTTATAAAATTTTAAGGAAGAATTGAATGTCCTAAGATTGGGCGGCAGATTGTTGAAAATACGAGCATTTCTTACATAAAAGATTTTTTGCAACAGAGGAGTCAAGTGTGCTATATGGATTTACGTGTTCCTTACAGATGTAGGAAACATAAACAGATCCAAAAGAGAAGATGTCCGAAATCTAAAGTTGACCCTTAATTCACAAAACAATCAAATGAACAACCATGAAACTCTTTCACAGAAGGAGATATATGATCACGACGTTTAACACAAAAAACATATTTCATAACCCAAATTACGGAAAACAAAACCACGAGTACCCCAAAAAAACTCAATACAAATTAAAAAGTGAGGCATAATCAAGGCATGGACCAATGAATTCTAATTTTCTTAGCCAACATTATAATAAAAAACAGCACAACTTTTTTAAAATAAAATTTACCTTGGACAGAATTAACATGCACATCAAATACCAAACCAGAATTAAGATACAAACCAAGACAATTCATCGAGCTTACAACATTTATAGGCGTCATATAAATAGAAACGTTTATTGAATCCACTTGCATTTTCCCAAAAAACATAACTTTAGATTTTTGAGTATTTACTGAAAGGCCGTTACAGGACAACTAAGTAACAAGTAAAAACAAGGCAAGGCTAAACCACTATAACTTTTGTTTTTCTAGATCTGAAGGCCTCTCTACTAGAATGAACATAATCGCTCTACTTCAGAATGATGAATGATGATGGAGTGTAAAGATTGTTTTCATACCCAAAGGAGGAAAACATAGTCACGAAAATGCTAAAGACTTTCGACCTTGTAAGCAACAAGATTGCCTTAAGGAGCGCTCAACAGATACAGCCCTACACGAAGTCGTTAAGACTATTGAGATGTTCTTGGAGAATACAATTAGTTTGTTTCCATTCGTACCTCGGGCATGTCTGCATGCTTCTAAAACTAGCAAGAAAAATAAAAACTAATGCTGATTACTGCACGCCTGCAATAACTTTTAATCAGCCTTTTAAAGTCCAGTTTCCTAGCAGCCTGTTTCCTCAATAGAATTTATCTTCGACAGTCAAGCGGCTCTCCTAGCTTTGAATAATGAATCATATATTTTCACGCCAAAGCTAGCTATAGAACGTAAAGAATAATAAGGGTCTTGTTGGTAACGACAAAGCACAAGGACTAGCTAGAACGGGATATGCATTTAACGAACTTCCGAAGTGTCAGTCGCAACATCAGTGGAAGTTTTTAAAATGGATATCTTCAAATACTATCTTTCAAAAGCAGAAGTCAAATGGGAGAATCAACAACTTCAAATGCACAAAGTTCCTGATTTGTCAAAAGAAAACGAAACCTGGGAAGTCTAACCAGCTACTGCTACTGGAACAAAGAATGAAAATTCTAGGACGGTTGTTCTATACGATCTTTCTGAAACAACGGAACTAGATTTTAGAGACCTTCTGAGATTTTTCATTTCATCAGGCTGGATATAATTAACAACATACAATAACGGAAAAACAATATCTACCCGAGTGGTAGACACCACGTAACGAAATCAGCATTTATATAAAGCCAAAGGAGCCCTTTCTGGTATTTGTGGTTTAGCCGGGGATTAACTTTCAGAATTACAAATATTAGGAATAGAATAGCAATTTTCGTATTTTTTTAATGTTATCCGATGACCAACCAAAAAGGTTGGCTACTGCTCTATCTCAAACTCAAACCCCGCGAAAAATCCGTGTCAATTGGTCTGTAATTTTGAAATCTAATGCGTTCGTGTGTTAAGGACCAATATTTCGAAGTGTTACAAACTATTAGACCCAATCAAACTGTTTCCGTATAACGAGAGTGTGAAATAAAAAAAACAACATTTCCATGAAGAAATATACATGGAATGTGTTTTTTTAGAGTTCATTTTCGAGTCGTCATACAGAAACAGGCCGTTTGAAAAATGAAGAAAAGTAGATACGTCTGAACGCCTACAATGCAGAGACACAATAGCTATTTGATGGGGAGATAGAAACATATCAGAACATATAGCACCATTTTAAAAGACAAGAATGTACTCTATAATTTGATATGTAGTTCTTTTCCCATAATGGATACTTTTTACTTTAATGGTTTTTCAAAAAGTTCAGTTACGAAAAAATAGATTTTCTTATATTTCTCATATGGTCTCATATTTCTTTGATAGATATTTCCATTTCCAAATCAGCATAGCCCCTACACTCAACCGAGCATAACTCAACATAAGGCAATGATAAATATATTGTTTATATCGGTTTAGTAGATCCGTGTCAAATATCCTGGAGCCGGATCCGCTCCGCCCGAAATTTTTTTCCGGAGTCAGTGTAAAATTGCCCACCACTTTTTTGCTAAAACAGAATTGTTCTTAGACGATTCAGTGGAATTTAACTAGAGTATAGCATTAATTATATAACACTATATTGAATTTTAATATCCTGTATAGCCAGTAGGATTTTCCATCTATCGCCGTTTTAACATTTTTTTTTTGACCTTGGCAACCCATCAATGCGGCTATGAAACGATACCGATGGAGCGCGTCGGTGCATTTTTTAATACAGTTGTAACGGTACGGTATACTTTCTAGACAATCCTCCCTCAATATCCTACTACCTACCTTTTGAATATTTGTCCTGAACATCGTACCAATGGGAAAACTCATAATGACACTTGGGACAATGATGATGGTTCTTCAAGACGTTGGCCACAAACTTGTGATCGAAGAGCTTTATGAGCTGAGGCTGTACGTTATTTTGCATTTTGCCACAATAAAATATTGAAAAAAATTATGCTTTCAAGAGCATAAAATTGGGACCGCTGTTCAAAACGATAAGATATAATCGAATATAGCAAATTTTCTTTTGTTATGCCAAAAAATTAGAAATGATCGGTAAGATTTGACCGGCAAACACTTGCGGATTCACTTGAATATGGAATTGTAAACGATGTAAACAAAACCACAGAAACATATTAGTATGATAAGGATAGAAACAAAAGGAATGAATTATCTAACGGTGTGTTCACACGGTGTTAATTCTTTTCAAATTATACAAATTAAGCTCAGTTCATACGAACAAAGCTTACGGTTAAGGAGAGCAAGTTTTTGAAAGGGCGGACCGAAGGAAAAGTTAAATTTCCTTGTTGAACTGTATATGTGTAAATTGAGTCCTACATTGAACACGTATTCATGAAACGCGGTATTTCACAATTTTATAGAAGTGGTTTGAAATCATCTGATTTGGCAAGTGAACAAATTGGTATACATATAGAAGAGAACTGCAATTTCCGACTTGCGTCGTCCCGATTTGCATCTTTTCGAGTTGTGTCGCTTTTCAAAAACCAGAAAATTCGATTTGCGTCGTTGCGATTCAAGTTGCGAGCTACATTGTGGATTACTATTTTGTTTTTGCATTTGCATTGCCTGATTTAGCATATTTTCTGCCGTTTAGCATTTTTACAACTTCTGGCAACAAAAATTTTCAAATTGCGTGAAATAAGGGGAATTCGATTTTCTTTATGGTGCTATATGTACATACATATGTAAATGAATTTAATTTTTGTTATGATTTTTTTTTTTTTTCATTTTTTGAAGTAAATGGAATAAATAAAATGTATTCATACTTGCTTTTTATCAAAAAATATATATATATTTGCTTTGTTTTGAATATTTTCCCAGGAAATTAAATTTTAGTGCATTTTGTATATGTATGGAAAAGGGTGATTCGATTGCGTCGTCGATTTTCCGTTCCCCATTAACGACGCAAGTCGGGGCTCTAGTGTATACTCAGATAAAATAGAATTCGTGCAAAAACAATTTCTGGTATTTGCCTTACGAGGTTTACATTGGAATAGAGATTTTGATTTGCCTTCTTATACTAGCAGGCTAAAATTAATTAGATTGCCTACACTTAAAATCAGACGTATTATGTTGAACTCCATGTTTGTACTAAACATATTAAATGGTAATATACCTTCAGATTTCCTAAACTCATCTATTAGAATAATTGTTCCGTTTAGATCTAATAGATACTAGCAATTATTATGTACTGTTTATCACCGCACGAATCATTAAATGGGCGAACCTCTTAGTAACATGTGTGTTGGCTTTAATTCTGGCTTAATTCTTTAAAGGGAGGTCGACCCTCAGTTGTCAGGGGTGGGAATGTGAGGCGTGGGAACGTTTGATAAAAGGAATTGCCAGTACGAGCATTTTTTTCCTTTTCTTTTTCTCCTACACAAACAAACAGATACTTGCCTAATATCGGCTTGTCGAAATTTCGAGAACTACGAATAATTACTTCGTTTGTAATGTGTAAACAGATGCTAGTTGTTTGTTTCACTGAACACACCCTTTGCATTAAACAAAAATGCCTGTAGATGTTCCATTGTTTTGCAAAATGTAAATATTTTAAGATCAGTCAGTGATCATTTAAACATTTCGTCAATAAATCCCATTTTTATTTATTTTTTTGGATTGAATAGTCCAGTTGTAATTCTATAATTTTTCTTTATAATCTGCACATGAATTTCAGAAGGCGTCTGATTAACCCGAGATCAAAAATAAAAGAAATTATTCAAATATCGATTATGCGAGTTTAAATTTTTATTCTTTATTTTGTTTTATATTAAGAAACAAAAGAACTAAACATTAAAATATTTTAGAGGAATAACGATGGCAGCAGACTGTAGTAATTGTAGTGGCCATGACAGACTAAAACTATAGATCAATCGGCAGACGATGCACACTCAATGGCAAATAATGTATTTCCAAATCCCTCAATGAATAGGATAATCTCAAATGGCAAATTATATTCGATATGTGGAGCAGGCTATGTACAATTCGAAAATTTTGTGATGCTTTTGAAATGATCACTGCTGTATGGGTCGTCGGAACAAAAGAATGTGAGGTTCTGGTTTATGGATCATGTAATGTATCCAGCCGCGAGATTGTTGTACCCCAATTGAACGCCATTCCGCTTCCGACATTAGGTGTGTTTTAGGTACCAACTTGACCAGCTCCTTGGGTAGCACCACATGTCTGTACTCATACTTCTCATCGTAATATTTGTCAGAATAGTAAATTTCCTTGCTCATTTTTGCAGAAGGTAAGCGAAGGACACTCGGACTATTCGAACGCGAACTTTTAGTTTTTGCCTCAAAGAATAAATATCAGTTATTTCTTCCTTTTGCAGTTATAACCATTTGTTTCCAGCAAAGTTAATTATAATCAGCAATTGTTTCCTTTTGTTTGAGAACACAAAATACTCCGAAAAAAAACTACGGAACAAATCAATTCACAAGACAAAATACGAAAAAGAAAAGTGACAGCGCCAAAATATAAACCGCCATTGCAGAAATGTCAGTATTCCGCTCTTTGTCTCTCAGAGATTGACAAAAAATGTTGCCAACTTTTCATACACAAAAATCGTCTGAATCCAAGGCAGATGTATTAGGTACTCGCATCAGCAACTTGCTACAACCCAACGCGTTACCTTACCATATAATTTCTTCATTGAATATTGAACAATTCGTTTGTGTGTGTTGAAAGTAGACATGAATATTAGAAAACGTGTAAATGTTTGAATTTAGAAAATATAAGGATAGGCTGAAATTTAAAAAATTTCAATTTTATGAGAGTTATTAGTTGGAAGATTTTAAGATATAGACCTGGCGTAATTGGCCAATACGTGAATTTGTATAGTACAAAATGAATTCTTTAATAGTATAATACAATACAGCTTTGAATGTTTATAACTTGAAAAATAAATAAATTAATGCCTGAAATTGATAAACATTTAAGATTAACCCACAGGGTTTATTAAATACAGGGGGTAATCTTGTATGTCTAGACACACACAGCTTTAGGAGGATATAAATCCCCCTCAGCTGTATATTCACATTGGAGATCTTCTGCTAATTTATTATCATGCGCAAATACAGTTTTAATTTTTGTTGGTATTAAGGTGAGAACACATAAAACGCTTCTTTGACTGGCTTAAGTCATCAGCTGACTTTTTCGTAGAGGAACAAAGGAGTTTTAGAGGAAAAAAGGAGTTTTTGACTTAGTTTAATTTTGGCCCTACCCTCCTTTGTTCTTTTCCAAAGAAACCAGCCGATGGCTGAAGTCAATCAAAAAAGCTCTTAATGTATTCTCACCTTTATTGTTCGAATGCAAAATGTAAAGAACGCTTTAGCGAAAACATTTGCAACGACACAGCTTCTGGGAGAATGAACTGTCAAACCAATTTCAAAGTTTTTAAATGCATTTTTTTTTTTTTTTGAAAATACATATCATAACAACCTTCGAATCGTTTTGTACAAGAAAACTTATAAAAATATGCTTAATAATATGAGTTTTTTTGAGCTTTAGGCCAGTTTTTTATTTTATTTCATTTTTGATCTCCGATATTTCGCAATTGTATAAATTGCATCTTCAGGGGATCTACAAGATAATATAATATTCTTAATATTACTATCACAGCATTGATTAGAAATAGAAACAAACACAATGTTATTACACAAAAATCGCTTACTTGTAAACAATAATCGTCAAGTTAACTTAATAACTACGATAGAATGCACTATCATCGTCGGCTGTTAATATTGCACTGATTTTGTTTACATATTGCACGATCTCTTCTTTTGTGTCAAATGCCTATAGCAATAAGCTGCGTTATCTGTGTCGCTCTTAAAATTTATTCTCTCTGTTGTGTGTAGATTGTTGATGTGTAACATTTCTAATGTGAGTCTTCTGTGGTAATGGTTTTCCGTTTGCAGTATTTTTACTTGTTCAAGGTTTGGCTGATGGTTGCTTGATATACAGTGTTCCGCAAGCGCTGTTTTTTGTGTGTAATTTTGGTTTCTCATTTTTAAATCAGACTTATGGGCTGATAGTCTAGTTTTCAATTTATTTTTTGTGGTACCAACATAATATTTCCCACATTTTTCGTTAGGGTTGCCATCGCATTGTATTTGGTATATCACATTGTGTTTATCAGGATTTTGTATTTTGTCTTTTGTATGGCTAAATAGCTTTTTGAGAGTGTTGTTGTTTTTCTGGGCTATTATATATTTGTTCTTGTCATATAAATTTGAGTTCTGGAATCGTTCTGATAAATTTGGTACGTAAATCATAGATTTATATATCTTTTCATCTTTTTGGGTTTCTCTAGTAGTATTCCGTCGTCCTATTAATCTATTTATTATTCTTATTGGAAAATTGTTGTTTGTTAGAATATCTCGGATTTTGTGTTTGTTCTTGTTATGGAATTTCTCGTCACTAATGCTCATTACTCTATGTACTAAATTTTTTGCAGTGTTTATAATCATTTGCTTGGGATGTTTCGAAAAGAAATTTATAATTCTTCCCGATGCCGTGGGTTTCTGATACCAGTCTAATTCTAATTTGTCCTTATTTCTATATATTATTGTGTCTAGATATGGTAAACATCCATTCATTTCATCCTCCATGGTGAATTTGATATTGTTGCTGAAACTGTTAAGTATATTCAATGTATCATTGATTGCATCTTCCCCAGTTATCACAAAAAGATCGTCCACGTATTTCGTTAATATTTTGGGTTTTGTCGTCAGTTTTTCCATGCAGGTGTCTAAGAGTTTCTCCATGACTATATCCGCCACAACTGGAGAAGCTGGTGAACCCATTGGCAGTCCTTTCTTTTGTTTATATATCTTGTCGTCGTATTTGAAATATCGGTTGTCTTTAATGCAAAATTTTAGAATACTTAAAAATAGGCCCTTTGTCATATTTGTGTATTCTTTTAGTTCTTCCCACCTTTCGTCGATTATTTGAATACCAAGATCTATCGGTATGCTTGGGAAGAGTGATACTACGTCAAACGAAACCATCCTGTCATTTTCTTTAATCGTCATATTTTTAACTTTGTTTTTGAACGCCATTGAGTCTTGAACGTTATATTTGGAGAATTTGGTAAGATTTTTTAAAATTTTAACCACATATTTGCACAGTTCTTCCGACGGAGAATTGATTGAAGAACAGATCGGGCGTAACGGTTCTTCAATCAATTCTCCGTCGGAAGAACTGTGCAAATATGTGGTTAAAATTTTAAAAAATCTTACCAAATTCTCCAAATATAACGTTCAAGACTCAATGGCGTTCAAAAACAAAGTTAAAAATATGACGATTAAAGAAAATGACAGGATGGTTTCGTTTGACGTAGTATCACTCTTCCCAAGCATACCGATAGATCTTGGTATTCAAATAATCGACGAAAGGTGGGAAGAACTAAAAGAATACACAAATATGACAAAGGGCCTATTTTTAAGTATTCTAAAATTTTGCATTAAAGACAACCGATATTTCAAATACGACGACAAGATATATAAACAAAAGAAAGGACTGCCAATGGGTTCACCAGCTTCTCCAGTTGTGGCGGATATAGTCATGGAGAAACTCTTAGACACCTGCATGGAAAAACTGACGACAAAACCCAAAATATTAACGAAATACGTGGACGATCTTTTTGTGATAACTGGGGAAGATGCAATCAATGATACATTGAATATACTTAACAGTTTCAGCAACAATATCAAATTCACCATGGAGGATGAAATGAATGGATGTTTACCATATCTAGACACAATAATATATAGAAATAAGGACAAATTAGAATTAGACTGGTATCAGAAACCCACGGCATCGGGAAGAATTATAAATTTCTTTTCGAAACATCCCAAGCAAATGATTATAAACACTGCAAAAAATTTAGTACATAGAGTAATGAGCATTAGTGACGAGAAATTCCATAACAAGAACAAACACAAAATCCGAGATATTCTAACAAACAACAATTTTCCAATAAGAATAATAAATAGATTAATAGGACGACGGAATACTACTAGAGAAACCCAAAAAGATGAAAAGATATATAAATCTATGATTTACGTACCAAATTTATCAGAACGATTCCAGAACTCAAATTTATATGACAAGAACAAATATATAATAGCCCAGAAAAACAACAACACTCTCAAAAAGCTATTTAGCCATACAAAAGACAAAATACAAAATCCTGATAAACACAATGTGATATACCAAATACAATGCGATGGCAACCCTAACGAAAAATGTGGGAAATATTATGTTGGTACCACAAAAAATAAATTGAAAACTAGACTATCAGCCCATAAGTCTGATTTAAAAATGAGAAACCAAAATTACACACAAAAAACAGCGCTTGCGGAACACTGTATATCAAGCAACCATCAGCCAAACCTTGAACAAGTAAAAATACTGCAAACGGAAAACCATTACCACAGAAGACTCACATTAGAAATGTTACACATCAACAATCTACACACAACAGAGAGAATAAATTTTAAGAGCGACACAGATAACGCAGCTTATTGCTATAGGCATTTGACACAAAAGAAGAGATCGTGCAATATGTAAACAAAATCAGTGCAATATTAACAGCCGACGATGATAGTGCATTCTATCGTAGTTATTAAGTTAACTTGACGATTATTGTTTACAAGTAAGCGATTTTTGTGTAATAACATTGTGTTTGTTTCTATTTCTAATCAATGCTGTGATAGTAATATTAAGAATATTATATTATCTTGTAGATCCCCTGAAGATGCAATTTATACAATTGCGAAATATCGGAGATCAAAAATGAAATAAAATAAAAAACTGGCCTAAAGCTCAAAAAAACTCATATTATTAAATATATTGGAAAATAGGTCGAAAAAACTCACACTTATAATATATAACACGGAGAGCACGCCGAATACCAACAACATGATCTACAGAAACATCAAGTATAAAAACAACATCAAACACAGCATTAACAAACACAAAAACACAAAAGTGAAGATTGCCAAAACAAAATGCTCTTTAACTTTTCTAATTCGATGTCGTAACAACGGCATCATTCCTAACTTTATTAAAAATGCCTTAAAAAATATTCACAATATTTTTAAGACACCTCAAATATACCACATTAAAAATACATTAAAGGGATACATTGATACTTTTCAAAACAAGATTCTCAATCTACTAATTAAACAGAAACATTACGAAATAAAGAACAATCAAAGGGATCAACAAAATATAGAAAAAACTTTGGGAGAAAATCTAACACAACAAGAGATAAACATAGTTACTCAAAACGAAAGCAAAATAATATCGAACATGGAGAACGAAATAAAAAACACACAGAAAAGAAAATTCGAAAAACTTAAACAACAACAAATGATACAACTTGGCATAAAACAGAATGATAAATGGTTTGTAAACAAAACAAACACTCAATTCCCCGATGACGTGAAATGGCTTCTTTCGCTTGGAGAGAAATTTGGACTTCCAACAACAAAATCACAATTCCCACTATTTAAACTAATAGCAGACGGCGAAGACGTAATACAAACATGGAATGACAAAGAACAACAAGAAATGATGAGGACAAAGTTCACAACAATGATAGACACACATATGAATAAGATGAAAGAGAGTGAACGAGATAAATTTATCAACAGCACAGTGGACCGCACCAAAACTTTTTTGAAACAAAATAAAAATATATTAATTTTAAATGCTGACAAAGGAAATGTTACGGTTGCAATGGACATTAATGACTACAAACAGAGGATGAACAGTATTATTTCAGATATGATGACATATCAACGGGTGAACAAAGATCCAACAACAGGTTTGATAAAAAAGAATAATGAACTGGTGGAGGAGCTATACAAAAACAACATTATTACGACAATGGAAAAGAAAAAACTCAGAAGTGACGTGGCTACAGCTCCAAGATTGTATGGACTACCAAAAATCCACAAGGTAGATTTCCCGTTACGCCCGATCTGTTCTTCAATCAATTCTCCGTCGGAAGAACTGTGCAAATATGTGGTTAAAATTTTAAAAAATCTTACCAAATTCTCCAAATATAACGTTCAAGACTCAATGGCGTTCAAAAACAAAGTTAAAAATATGACGATTAAAGAAAATGACAGGATGGTTTCGTTTGACGTAGTATCACTCTTCCCAAGCATACCGATAGATCTTGGTATTCAAATAATCGACGAAAGGTGGGAAGAACTAAAAGAATACACAAATATGACAAAGGGCCTATTTTTAAGTATTCTAAAATTTTGCATTAAAGACAACCGATATTTCAAATACGACGACAAGATATATAAACAAAAGAAAGGACTGCCAATGGGTTCACCAGCTTCTCCAGTTGTGGCGGATATAGTCATGGAGAAACTCTTAGACACCTGCATGGAAAAACTGACGACAAAACCCAAAATATTAACGAAATACGTGGACGATCTTTTTGTGATAACTGGGGAAGATGCAATCAATGATACATTGAATATACTTAACAGTTTCAGCAACAATATCAAATTCACCATGGAGGATGAAATGAATGGATGTTTACCATATCTAGACACAATAATATATAGAAATAAGGACAAATTAGAATTAGACTGGTATCAGAAACCCACGGCATCGGGAAGAATTATAAATTTCTTTTCGAAACATCCCAAGCAAATGATTATAAACACTGCAAAAAATTTAGTACATAGAGTAATGAGCATTAGTGACGAGAAATTCCATAACAAGAACAAACACAAAATCCGAGATATTCTAACAAACAACAATTTTCCAATAAGAATAATAAATAGATTAATAGGACGACGGAATACTACTAGAGAAACCCAAAAAGATGAAAAGATATATAAATCTATGATTTACGTACCAAATTTATCAGAACGATTCCAGAACTCAAATTTATATGACAAGAACAAATATATAATAGCCCAGAAAAACAACAACACTCTCAAAAAGCTATTTAGCCATACAAAAGACAAAATACAAAATCCTGATAAACACAATGTGATATACCAAATACAATGCGATGGCAACCCTAACGAAAAATGTGGGAAATATTATGTTGGTACCACAAAAAATAAATTGAAAACTAGACTATCAGCCCATAAGTCTGATTTAAAAATGAGAAACCAAAATTACACACAAAAAACAGCGCTTGCGGAACACTGTATATCAAGCAACCATCAGCCAAACCTTGAACAAGTAAAAATACTGCAAACGGAAAACCATTACCACAGAAGACTCACATTAGAAATGTTACACATCAACAATCTACACACAACAGAGAGAATAAATTTTAAGAGCGACACAGATAACGCAGCTTATTGCTATAGGCATTTGACACAAAAGAAGAGATCGTGCAATATGTAAACAAAATCAGTGCAATATTAACAGCCGACGATGATAGTGCATTCTATCGTAGTTATTAAGTTAACTTGACGATTATTGTTTACAAGTAAGCGATTTTTGTGTAATAACATTGTGTTTGTTTCTATTTCTAATCAATGCTGTGATAGTAATATTAAGAATATTATATTATCTTGTAGATCCCCTGAAGATGCAATTTATACAATTGCGAAATAGCGGAGATCAAAAATGAAATAAAATAAAAAACTGGCCTAAAGCTCAAAAAAACTCATATTATTAAATATATTGGAAAATAGGTCGAAAAAACTCACACTTATAAAATATGCTTAAATATATAATGTTCCCAAATGTTGATGTATCTGCCTGTATTCTTCTACCATTACAAATTTGCAGTTTTCTTCCATATCATAAAGGGAAAATCGGTTATCGTAGTAAAAACTCTTACATTCTTGCAGTTTTGGAATAGACCAACTAATACAGCTCAACATCATGCAGCCAAATTACATCAAGGGTGAAAATACAAAAAGCGCATATTTGGCTGGCTTCTTCGTAGATGAACAAAGGAGTTTTAGGTTGACTTAGTTCGATTTTGGCCCTAGACTCCTTTGTTTATTTCCGAAGAAGCAAGCCGATGACTTAAGCCAGCTGTATATGTATGTATTATGTATTCCCACCTTAAGGCAATCGCATTGTGGCTTTGAAATGTTTGTGGTTTGTTTGGAGTACAAAACGATTGAAAATGTAAAACTTTGTGACTTCGTGTGAGCGGCACCTTAATCGTTTCGTTTGTTTTCGTACCATGGAAGAATTGTATAAATGTTAGCATGATATTACCTTGTATAGTTTTCCAATGCACAAACTAAACCCAAAATAAAAAAAAAAAACACAACCAATCTTTTAAAGCCTACTTCCATTTATTCAAAATATGTTTGTACTTATATCTATCTACCCACATCCCTTTCCAACTGTATTCATGTGTCTGTAAATTTATATATTTAGGAGAACATTGAATCCAATAAATTACTTTGCCTCTCTCGTCGATTTGATTCATCTTGACGATAACGTCTTAATTCTTCATATGCTTCATCATCAGTTTCGAGCTCAAAGCGACACAATGGACAGGAATTCGCCTAAAAAAATATACAAAATCAAGATTTTCGGACACGCAATTAGTTAAGCGAGAATTGTACTCACTTTCTTAAGCCACAGCAATACACATTCCTCGTGAAATTCGTGCTTACAAGGCAGAATTTTGTATTTTTCCCCGTTCTCTGCCGGCTGTTTGCAGACAGCACATTCAAGATTGTCTTTGTCATCACTATCCGTTACCTCATGAAATGGTAATTCAGCAATAGCTCTTTTAGATGCTTCTGGTACCTCTATTTCCATATCTATGCCATTCATAATGGCTAGTACTTGCAAACGTTTGTAATGCCGATCGAAGTCATTGGCTCCCTCAGGACCGGTGGGTACGTGGCCCAGTTCATCAAAATAATCCGACATTGAATAGTTTTAACACAATCTAAAAATGGAATGGAATTAAACGGTTTAATTATATTGATTCTTATCTCTATAGATTTTTTTCTGTCAGGGCAATGAACTGTCAAACCAATTTTGAATTTGAAAATTTTCAATATTTATTTTTTTACCGATTTTTGAAAAAACATTTTAAAAATGTTGACATATTACCATGGTGTTGAATAAAAAAAATAATTTGAAATGACATAATACAAAAGAAATTCATATTTTCGACGTTGATGGGACTTACTATTATCTTAACCTACTTTAAGAAGATTTATTTGAAGTATATTATAATGGATGTGGCACTTAAATTTCAAATCTAGTGGGTTAACCCGTTTATATGTAAACGTACAGTAAATTAAATTTTGTGGAAAAAATCATTAAAATAATCAAAACCAATTGTTGCATATTTAAAAGTCTACTCGACACTATAAAGGTGAGAATACATAAACCGCTTTTTTTGTCTGACATAAGCCATCGGCTTGCTTTTGGTTGACTTAAGCTGGGAATACATAAAGCGCTTGTTTGGCTGGCTTAAGTCATCGGCTGGCTTCTTCGGAAATGAACAAAGGAGCCTAGGGCCAAAATCGAACTAGGTTAACCTAAAACTCCTTTGTTCATTTACGAAGAAGCCAGCCAAATATGCGCTTTATGTATTTCCAGCCTTAGTTCAATTTCGGCCCATAATTCATACTTGCTACCACGGTAAAAGTATACAGGTAGATGCATCAACGCTTGGGAACATTGTTATGTCAAAAAAATTTAAATGTATTTTCAAATATAAGTAGATTTTCATATGTTTTTTTATACCACATCACCCGGAGCTTATTATAATTTGCGATTTTCAACAAATTTTACAAATTTAAATAATTTTTCATTCAACATTTTCAATTCCAAAATTGGTTTGACAGTTCATTGTCCCAGCAGCTGTGTCGATGCATCTACATATATTCTTCTACCATGCTTGATACCATGGTACAGTGATATCAAGGTAGGGCTATGATACCATATGATTTCAATTTTTTTATTTTCTTGGCTTAATATGTCATCTTTATTTGTTTATGTATGTGTTTTCTTTTCAATAACAAAAAAATGTTCAGAAAACATTCAAATTCGGATGTTTTCAAAATGTTTATTTCATCGTATGCATCGACAAAATCTAGAGTTTTTGTGGCGAAATAATCCTTTAGAGATATATATAGAAGCTGGTTTTGAAAATAAGTGTTGACCTTTCATTCAGTTTTCGCGGTATTCAATTATTTATTCAAAGTAAATGCAACAAGTTGTTTCATTTTTTTATTGTTTTGATACTAATTCTGACATTACAAGCCAAACAGGTAGAACTCTATACTTGCAATTTTTTCAAAGTTGACCTACCTTCTACCATGGTATCAAGCATGGTACAATGAAGAGAAGGTAGGTCAACTTTGAAAAAATTGCAAGTATAGAGTTCTACCTGTTTGTATCAATACAATAAAAAATCAAACTTGTTGCATTTATTTTGAATAAATAATTGAAAACCGCGATAACTGAATGAAAGGTCAACACTTCTTTTCAAAATCATGTACTATATATCTCTAAAGGATTATTTCGCTACAAAAACTCTAGATTTTGTCGATGCATGCGTTGAAATGAACATTTTGAAAACACCCGAATTTGAATGTTTTCTGAACAATTTTTTGTTATTGAAAAGAAAACACATACATAAACAAAAAAGATGACATATTAGACCAAGAAAATAAAAAAAATTAAAATCATATGGTATCATAGCCCTACCTTGATATCATTGTACCATGCTTGATACCATGGTAGAAGAATATAGGTAGTCGCACCGACACAGCTGCTGGGATAAAGAACTGTCAAACCAATTTTGAAATTGAAAATTTTGAATGAAAATTTATTCAAATTCGTTAAAACTGTTGTAAATTACATATCATAACAAACTCTGATTGACGTTGTATAAGGAAACATATAAAAATCTACTTATTTTTGAAGAAATCTTTTAAAAAATTTGACATATCAATGTTCCAAAGTGATGATGCATCTACCTGTATTCTTCTAACATGCTTGCTACGCTCCTTTATTCTTTTATGAAGAAGCCAGGAGTTTTAGGTTGACGTAGTCGATTTTGGCCCTTGGCTTCTTTGTTCATTTACGAAGAAGGCAGCCGATAAGCCAGCCAAATCAGCGCTTTATTTATTCCCACCTTAAAGATGAGGGTACATAGGAAGCATGACAACATGGCTAGGCATATTAATGTCAAATTATAAAGGGAAAAGACGGCAGAATTTGAGTGCGGCTCTGACATCCCTTTATGATATGTCACAAAATTATTTCGGCGATTCATACCTTAGAAAGACTAATTTTATTTGTAAAGTTTAAACGTATAGAAATAGAGATTTAAACCTTTCATCTTAAGGAAACTTCTTCGTTGCTGGGTTAATCTAAAAGCGCTATTAGACAACAATTCTTAATAATGTAGGTAAATCCGGATAAATTTTTAATTGTAAATAAGATATAAGTCAGTCCTAATGTATCATAATCCCAGAATAAGAATTTTGCCAAAATCTTCACAATACCTGATATATAGGTACTGTACTAAAATGAAAACACACATTTACAATTTCCTGTAATGAGTTTAGTTCCAGATTCCAAAATTCAGAGTACATCCCATTCCAACCACTCACACTTTATACCAAACTTAGTACTTTTAGTACACTATAAATTACACCTTTTCAAAAAAATCAAGAATTCCACATCTATTCGTACACTATACACCAAATCCAGTGCTTTTTGTACACCAAGAATTTCGCATTTTCAAAAACACTGTATTGTCTAAATTCTACACACCCACAGTGACTCTTAAGCTGGGAATACATAAGGGCGGAAATACATAAAGCGCATATTTGGCTGGCTTAAGTCGTCGGCTGGCTTCTTCGTAGATGAACAAAGGAGTTTTAGGTTGACTTAGTTCGATTTTGGCCCTAGGCTCCTTTGTTCATTTCCGAAGAAGCCAGCCAGATAAGCGCTTTATGTATTTCTACCCTAAAGCGCATATTTGGCTGGCTTAAGTAATCGGCTGGCTTCTTCGGAAATGAACAAAGGAGACTAGGGCCAAAATCGAACTAGGTCAACCTAAAACTCCTTTGTTCATCTACGAAGAAGCCAGCCGAAGACTTAAGCCAGCCAAATATGCGCTTTATGTATTTCCAGCCTTATACCAAAATCTATAATTCCACCTCTTTCCCTACAGTCCATACCAACTATAGTATCATTCAGTCCTGTTCGTACCATGATGAAATTAAGAAGTAAAGTCATTTCAAATAACCATACCCATCTCTTCATTTTTTGTAATTTACCGTGTCAAATTTTAATACTTAGAAATCAGGTTCCCATCTCTGGTTTATGTACAATTGATTTGAAAATGAGATGTCAAATGAAATTTTTTGAAAAAATTGTAAACACATGATTGCATGACTTTACCTTCTTCATTCTAACATGGTTCGTACACAAAAGTAGTACGATTTTCCAAACCCATCTTCTTATCTAAACGCTACCCAGTCACATCGATGTCTATACCAATATTCAAAATTCTATCTCTTTTCATACATAATATACCAAATTTAATACCCTTTAGTACTTTTCGTATACTTCGCATTATTTATTTATTAAATAAACTACCTTATCGCAGTTATCTCAAGGTATAATAATACAGGTAAAAGCATGTGTTGTTGTACAACAAACATAACAACCACATACAACATTGTTTTTTGTACGTAATACAAGTGTGAAATTTATATGTTCAAAAATGTATTTTAAATAAATAATTTTAATTTCAAAAATGTTTATTTTCCAGCCTTATACCAGCCTTATACCAAAATCTATAATTCCACCTCTTTCCCTACAGTCCATACCAACTATAGTATCATTCAGTCCTGTTCGTACCATGATGAAATTAAGAAGTAAAGTCATTTCAAATAACCATACCCATCTCTTCATTTTTTGTAATTTACCGTGTCAAATTTTAATACTTAGAAATCAGGTTCCCATCTCTGGTTTATGTACAATTGATTTGAAAATGAGATGTCAAACGAAATTTTTTGAAAAAATTGTAAACACATGATTGCATGACTTTACCTTCTTCATTCTAACATGGTTCGTACACAAAAGTAGTACGATTTTCCAAACCCATCTTCTTATCTAAACGCTACCCAGTCACATCGATGTCTATACCAATATTCAAAATTCTATCTCTTTTCATACATAATATACCAAATTTAATACCCTTTAGTACTTTTCGTATACTTCGCATTATTTATTTATTAAATACACTACCTTATCGCAGTTATCCCAAGGTATAATAATACAGGTAAAATCATGTGTTGTTGTACAACAAACATAACCACATACAACATTGTTTTTTGTACGTAATACAAGTGTGAAATTTATATGTTCAAAAATGTATTTTAAATAAATAATTTTAATTTCAAAAATGTTTATTTTTGAAATTTGGATTATTAAATTTAAAATGCAGGAAATAGCTGGTAGAATCAAGAAGGTAGTCTGAACTTTCTGTAATTTACCTTGTTAATTTTAACAGCATAGTAAACTGGTTCCCTCTCTGATTTGTGTAATACAATTTGACAATGAGATGTTGTCAAAGGTATTGCATGACTTCACCTTCTTCCATGAATAGTTCTTAACATATTTAATTTTAATGCTTTCATATAATTCCCCTGAATGTATAATTGTTAGCTGTAGGTCCAAATATCTCAACACTTCAAGTAATCGCTAGAAAATCAACATACCTTTCAAATTTAAACCAAACTGCATATATACAAAAATTTTTACAATTTTAAGAAACATGATATATATGACTATATTATCTATAGCTGGAAATACATAAAGAGCATATTTGGCTGGCTTAAGTCATCGGCTGGCTTCTTCGAAGACAAGGTAGATCTAATAGGTAACCGCATCGGCGAATTGCTACAACAAAGC